AAAGGAAGCAAAGTTTCCTTACTTTAGCAAAGGAAAACCAGTCTCCTCTTGGCTTATATCGAAATCCTCCGACATTTTTCTTTACGAATCCTCGTTTTGTACTTCTAATTTGTGACCGGCGTTTTGTTTTGCTCTCTCCTCTGCGGTTCCGCGTTCGTCACTAATCACTGCCGCTTACGCTACGCATACATCCTAGCAGAAGTGAGAGAAAAGTGTTTATAACATTTTAAATATGGACATTTTTCTTACAAAAACACATCGATTCGCTACAGGAGGCCTTTATTCACCCCCCGGAGCCGTGTGAGGCACATTTTATTATGGATGGATGCGCGTCATTGGACTTCTTTTGGACTGTTGAAAAATAACACCCATTCACTGCCATTATAAAGCTTGGAAGGGCCAGGATGTTTTTAAATATAACTCCAATTGTATTGGTCTGAAAGAAGAAAGTCATATACACCTAGGATGGCTTGAGGGTGAGTAAATCATGGGGTAATTTTCATTTTTGGGTGAACTATCCCTTTAAGCAGGATAAGCTAAACTCTCTCTCTCTTTTATCTAGTTGGACTCGGTGCTGTTCGCAGAGTTCCTCTCGTGGAAGGAGGCGCCCAGTCTGGATCGCTCCTCAGCGTTCATCAGCAGGGTGTACAGAGAAGATATCGGGCCATGTCTTTCATTCACCTGCTCTGAGGTGTGTGAGCACACATGTCTTCCTCTGATCGTCTGTTTTCTCTCTCTGACGTTCTCTTGTTCTTTTCCTACAGTTGTCTCAGTCGGTCCAGTGCGCAGTGGAGAATAACTCTCTCACCATCGAGCCCGTCGCCATGTCGTCTCTGCACACGGTCAAAGCCCTCGAATGTGGAGGACCCAAGTGAGTCATGGATGGATAAATCTATATAAACAAAACACATCAGTCACTTTCTTTCACGCTTTTGGCCAATCAGACAAATTCAAGGAATCATGAAGAATCATGCATGTGTCAGAATCAATTTGCTCTCTTTTTACTCATAAAAATGCTGATTTACTTCTTCAGATAATGTGCATTATGCATCTTTTATTTATATAATGACAAATCCAATTAAAAACTCAAGCAGAAAAATAAAAAAATGATGTGAAAGCTAATAATGAAGTTATGTGAGCATTGTTGCATTTCTTTTCAAATTTGACAGAATGCAAATCATGATGCACTTTGCATTTTTAGCAAGTTAGTTAAAGTTAACTAAACAGTCTAACTAGCTACCTAAGAAAAAATAAAACATCTGGTGTAATGGAACAGATATTTTGCCAGTTATTTTCTTTCTGGAGGAATTAATTAAGTATTAATGTTTGTTTATTTGTTCCTTAAAAATATATAAAATAAAATACATGATTTTATATATATACTGTATGTGTGTGTGTATATATATATATATATATACAGGTGCATCTCAATAAATTAGAATGTCGTGGAAAAGTTCATTTATTTCAGCTGCAGTGGAAACCCAACCGGAGCCAAACCGAGCCGTGCCGTGCCGTACTGAGCCGTACCGAGCCGAGTCGTACCACGCAGTGGAAAAGCGCCATTAGAGTGCTTCACCTGGCTTCCGCTTTTGATAAGTCCAGATCAAAGTTAAATGCCTTTGATTTGGCATGAAGCGTGTGGGACCCTCTTTAATTCTGCCTGCTTTGGGGGCAACAAATACACATGAATCAGAACGATTGCACTTTGATCTGGGAAGTCGCACTTTAATCACACTTTAATCACTGTTTGATTTGGGGTTGTTTTCACAGCGGTTGCCGGACACCCATAGAAACGTAAGTCAATGCAAGAACCAAATGTGCATGAAATCCTGTTTACACTAACACATCGTATTGTTTTCTGTCCGGAGAATTATTATTTTTATTTAATAGTGCTGTCAAACGTTTAATCGCGATTAATCGCATCCAAAATAAAAGTTTTTGTTTACATAATATATGTGTGTGCACTTTATATATTTATTATGTATATATAAATACACACACATACAGCATATATTTTGAAAATATTTACATG